CCCCCCCCCCTGCAGCCTCTCAAAAACTCAAAAGAACACTCTTGCCTAAACATCGGTACAATCCATGCATTATCTTTGTCATCCCGAAATTAAAAAGACATTTATTTATATTCTGTCGCTTTAGATGACAAATTCTTTTGTTCTGTTTGATTATTTTGCCGATTCTTATTACACCACAGCACTTAAATCTATGTTATACCCAATACAGGCTGCATCCTAAATGAATCACGAGTTGGTACAAATATCGAGACAAATATCTAACGCAAACATGCATTTTCTTGTCTTGATGCAAACTTTAAATTCTAGTAAATTCAAATTTGAACACACAAACGTACCTTTAACAGCATCGACGTGCTTCTTCGATTTCATGTGGCTTTTCACTGCTGCTTCTCCCATATTTTGAACAGCGAATGTCTTTTTGCATGCTTTACATTTTGCCTCTGACGAAGAACTCCCGCGTTCTATCCACTTATTATACTGCGGGTCACTCAGCCAAGCATCTTGGAATTTGCATTTTCCAGGCATTATATATTAAATCTGCTTGCATGATCGCTCAAGCTCATCTTTACCTCGTGGCAGGCCTGGTCGCATGGCGATGCTGGGACTCGGCCCCAGGTCTCAGCAAAAACGTATCACACGGTATCGGGGGAAAAATGCGCGTTTGTCGTTGCAAACACGTAAACAAGGAATAGTTTATTAAACAAAAACTTGTGAAAGCAAGGAATTTTCTTTATTTTCATCTCGGTTTTTGCAAAATGTCAAATTATAACAATTTTCCATGACTTTCCATGACTCTGATCGAAATTCCATGACTTTCCAGGCCTGGAATTTTTTTTTCGAAATTCCATGACTTTCCAGGTTTTCCATGACCCGTACGAACCCTGAGCTACAAAGTCAGATATATCCTCAAAGATGCAGGAAAATGCCAACTATCCGTGAAAGCAAATGAAAAACATGTTCGTGACAGTCCATTTACTGTTAAAGCGAAACCCAGACAGTTTAGACCCTTGTTTATCTTTTGGAAAAATAGGTTCGTCAGTTGGAATACTTAACGGTCCATTTAGAGTGGCAGTGAATGAACGAGATGAAATTGCTGTGACTTACGCTGGTGACTACAGGGTTCAGGTATTCAGTAGTGATAGCACTTACTTTTAAAGATCTTTTGGTAAGAAGGGTGATAAACAGGGAGAAATTGATTACCCCGCTGGGCTCGCACATGATAGAAATAAGAACACTGCAGTGGTGGACACTACTAACAAGCGCATTCAATTGTTCAATGAGCAAGGTGAGTACCTGAGCCAGCTTGGTGGGGAAGGAAATCTTGATCACCAGCTAAGGTACCCTTCGGTTAATCCGTTGACAGCAATGGAAATATCATTGTTGCTGATAGGGGCAACAAACTTACAAAAACCTTTTCATCCAGTAGTGGCCAGTTTTTGTATAAACTTGGTGAAGGTGGAGTTTTTACTGCTTCTACTCACTGTATTCAATATAACAAACATCTTAGAGTGTCAGACAGTGATGAACATTGTATCAAAGTGTTTGATATAAATGGTAATTTTTTGTACAAATTTGGAAATAAGGGGAACAGGAATGGGCAGTTCAATGAACCTCATTTTTTGTCAGTTAACAAGGCAGGACACGTGATGGTCTGTGACAAAAACAATCACAGAGTTCAGGTGTTTGAAATGAGTAGTAAATTTGTTACAAAGTTTGGAAAAGAAGGGAGTGAGCTAGGAGAGTTCCGCATGCCAACATCTACAGCGGCTCAGTAATGATGGTAGGATAGTTGTGGCTGTTTGGTTGAACAACTGTATTCAGATATTCGTTTAAATGTTGATAAATAC